TTAATGACAACAATAACAAGATTAAATAATAATATTAAAAATAAATGATAATAATATTAATAATAACGATAATAATAATTAGTAATAATAATAAATAACAGTAACAATAAATAATGAAATAAACAACTAATACACGTATATAATAATAGTATAAACCACAACAATTATTATTATTATTATTATTAATAATAATAATAACATTAATAATATTAATATTAATAATAATAATAATAATAATGATAATAATAATAATAAATAACAGTAACAATAAATAATGAAATAAACAACTAATACACGTATATAATAATAGTATAAACCACAACAATTATTATTATTTTTAATAATAATAATAATAATAATAATAATAACATTAATAATAATAATAATAATAATGATGATAATAATAATAATAAATAACAACAGCTTAAAGCTTTAGAATGTTTTTTAAAAAGCTTATCAGAAATAAATACTGTACACATTTACAAAATAACTTTACTAAAATATGGGAAACATTAAAAAGAGATACCTTCACAATTGACTGCTGCTTTTTCATAACTTTAATAAAACTAAATAAAAAAACACTTATATTTTAATAATAAAATAAAAAAAGAAAATGAAAAGCAGACAGGCTAGAAACATTTTAATCACATTCAAAATATTTTTATATTTTGTTTTTGAAATTTAGCAAAAAATTCATTTAAAAATTTTCCCCATATTACAATAAAAGATAAAAAATTGTCATATTGATCTTATATGTAATACCGTATAAATAAATAAATATTATTAGCTTTTTCCCATATTTTAACATTATAAAAACATTGAGATCAGTTTTTCTTATGTTTATTACAATAAAACATATATACATGTTTTTGTTTTATTGAATTAAAACATAATTTGGTTATAATATTATGCAAATTATGCTAACAATATAGTAAAACTTGATGATGCATAAATAAATAAATATATATCATAACCTTTAATCACAGGTTTTTGCCATTGAATCAAACAGCCAATCAGAAGACAGCCTGACCTGTTGGGGCGGGTACTGGTGCGTCTGAACGAACAGCAGAAAGTGCAGCCACTGTCCATCATGAGCGCAGTCCAGCGGGTAGGCGGAGCTTAGAGGAAGAGCGTGGAGTCGACAGAACTGGACAGGAAGTGCCCATTCCTGTGCTGCCTCGAACGACCAGCTGAAAACACAAAACATCAGGCATGAGGATCCACAGGAGGAATCACCCAGCATGCATCTCTTTCAGAAACACTGACCGACTGATGGTCTTCTTCTCCAGAGCGTCTCTGATGGCCGCTTCCAGATGGAGGAGCAGATCCTGAGCCGTGCGATGCTCAGCGCTAATCAGCTGACTGGCCTTCTCCACTGAAACATAACAGACACATGCTAACAACACACAGAAGAGCAGAAGACCACACGTCTTGGGTCATTTTACAGAAACAGCCTAACAACATGCTAAAACATGATAGCAACAAGCTAAAACATGCTATTGTGTCAGAAATGATTACGCTTTTAAACATGATAGTAGTAAATGTATAAGGTTGTAAATGTTAATAGTAAAGTTAATAATATGTTTAACCATGCTAACAACACAGGCTAACAACATGCTAAACACACAGAGAACACCAGAATGCCACACACAAAGGGTCATGCTACAGAAACAGCCTAAGAACACGCTAAAACATGATAGCAACAAGCTACAAACAGGCAAGCCATGTAATTAAGTATGTATAAATATTAATAATAAGTTAATGATATGTGGAACCATGCTAAAAACATGCTAAACACACAAAGAACACCAGAATGCCATACACCCTGGGTCATGCTACATATACAGTCTAACAACATCCAAAAACTTGATAGCAACAAGCTAAAACATGCAAGCCATCTGCTTAAGTATGTTAGAAATATTAATATTAAGTTAATAATATGTTTAACCATGCTAACAACATGCTTAACACACAGAGAAGACCACAATGTCACACACCCTGAGTGATGCTACAGAAACAGTCTAAAAACATGCTAAAACATAATAGCAACAAGCTAAAAACATGCTACCCATGTGCTAAAGAACATTAGAAATATTAATAATAAGTTAATGATATGTGTAACCTTGCTAACAACACAGGCTAACAACATGCTAAACACACAGAGAAGACCAAAATGTCATACACCCTGGGTCATGCTACAGAAGCAGTCTAAAAACATGCTAAAACATAATAGCAACAAGCTAAAAACATGCTACCCATGTGCTAAAGTACATTAGAAATATTAATAATAAGTTCATGATATGTGTAACCTTGCTAACAACACAGGCTAACAAAATGCTAAACACACAGAGAAGAGCAGAATGCCATACACTCTGGGTCATGCTACATATACAGTCTAACAAAATGCTAAACCATGAAAGCAACAAGCTAGACATCTGGTGAAGTATGTTCGAAATATTAATAAAAGTTAACAATCCATTTAAACATGCTAACAATGTGCTAAACCATGCTGGAAACAAGTAACGATGTGAAAAAACATGCTAACAATTTGATAAAACTTGCTAGAAATATTAACCATTTGTTTACTCTGGTTTACTGTCAATTCTTATTCTCCTGGACTTGAGTGCAGCCTTTGACACGGTTTCGCACGAGGTTCTTTTGAATAGGCTTGCCTCACTAGGGATCTCTGGCACCCCTCTTTTATGGTTGAAGTCATATCTTGAAGATCGTACTCAGTTTGTTCAAATTAAAGATTTTAAGTCAAGATCGCAGATTGTCACTACTGGTGTCCCACAGGGTTCTGTACTGGGTCCACTCCTGTTTATCATATATCTACTGCCTCTTGGTCACATTTTCAGAAAATACAACATACAATTTCACTGTTATGCTGACGACACTCAACTCTACCTGTCCACCAAGCCCTCCTGTTCTTTTCCTCCTCCTGCTTTGAGCAGATGTTTAGCTGAAATAAAAATCTGGCTTTCAGCTAACTTTTTAAAATTAAACAGCGACAAAACTGAAGCCCTTCTCATCGGCACTAAAAGTGTTTTGGATAAAGCTGATAAATTCACTATAAACATTGATAACAGTACAATTTTTCCCTCCATGCAGGTAAAGAGTTTGGGTGTCATCTTGGATAGCACACTCTCATTTGAAGGTCACATTAATAATATTACACGTACTGCATATTTCCACCTGCGTAATATCACTCGTCTCCGCCCTTCTCTCACAACTAATAACACAGCAATTCTCATCCACGCATTAGTTACTTCACGTCTTGACTACTGTAATGCACTTCTTTCTGGACTTCCTTCCAAACTTCTCCATAAACTCCAACTGGTTCAGAACCATGCAGCTCGTGTCATCTCTAGGACCCCATCTCACGAGCACGTCACACCACTCCTCTATCAGCTTCATTGGCTTCCAGTAAAATATCGAATTGATTTTAAAATATTACTTCTAACTTTCAAGGCACTCCATAATCTCGCTCCTCAATATCTCACTGAACTTCTCCATATCTACACCCCTTCTCGTACCCTTAGGTCAGCTAACAACTTCACTCTGGCACCACCTCGCACTCGACTGAGCACAATGGGAGACAGATCTTTTAGCTCTATGGCTCCTAGGCTATGGAACTCACTTCCATTAGACCTTAGGAGCAGTGATAGTCTTCACAATTTTAAATCACTTCTAAAAACCCATCTTTTTAAGCAGGCTTTTACTTAACAATTTTTTATCATGTTTTTATTATGTTCTTTTTCGCTATTGCGTTTTAACTTGTTTGGTCATTGATTGTTTTTAGTAATGTTTAAGTTGTTTAGCATGTCTGATGATGCTTACTGTAAGGCGACCTTGGGTGTCCAGAAAGGCGCCATTTATAAATAAAATGAATTATTATTATTATTATTATTATTTGTTTAAAAATGCTAATAGTGTGCTAAAACATGCTAAAAATATCATCCATTTGTTTAAACATGCCAACAATGGGCTAAAACATGCTAGAAATATCATCCATTTGTTTAAACATGCTAACAATGAGCTAAACCATGCTAGAAATATTAACTATTCATTTAAACATGCTAACAGTGTGCTAAACCATGCTAGAAACAAGTAACAATGTGTTAAAACATGCTAATAATGTGATAAAACATGCTAGTAATATTAACCATTTGTTTAAAGATGCCAACAAGTTAAAACCATGCTACAAAAACATGATCAAAATATACTAAACTAAATAAGCAGTATGTTAAAACAGGTTAGCAGTGTCCTAAAACATGCTAGTAGTGAGATTAATTGTGCTATAAACATGTTAACATGCTAAACAACTTGTTAAATAGGTTAGCATTCAACCAATAAGCTAAAACATGCTACAAACATGCTAGGCCTACCACAATAATGAAACATTAGCAGTGTTAAATCATGAAAGATAATGTTAAAAATGTGCTAACACTGTTAAATCACAATGAAAAAAATTGCTAGCAATGTGCTAAAGGCTAATCTAATAATCTCGGGAAAACATGCTAAATCATTAAATTTCATGCTAGCAGCGTTAAATGATGAGTGAAACGTGTTAGTCTAACAAGCTAAATGCTAGTAGTGTTTAAAATCATGCAAGCAGTGTGCAAACTCATGCTAATGCTAATATATTAGGATGCTAACAGCATGCTAAATCATTTTTAGTTTTCAGCTACCCAGAGTGTGTCGCAGTAAATCTGCGTCTCCGTCCTCACGGCTCTGACTCCAGTGCTTGTGAATGAGGTTCAGCGTGCGCAGATCCGTCCTCAGTTTGAGGCTACACACACCCATGAGCTCACAAAAGCACACACACGCCGACGACACACTCGCACTGCTGAAGTTCAACAGAGCCAATGAGTACGACTGATCCACTGCCATAGACAACCTGAGAGAAATCACACACACAGACACAGAGACACACACACACACACACACACACACACACACACACACACACACACACACACACACACACACACACACACACACACACACACACACACACCTTTAGGAATGTTTAAGTTTTAATATTTCAGAAATTGTTGTGTGCCTGAGTGTGTGTTTTTGTTTGTGTGTATGTGAGCCTGTGTGTGTGTGTGTCTCACTGTAGTTTAGTGTTACTGCAGTCTCTCAGGTGTTGTGTGAGGTAAACAGCGTAAGCGAAGGCCGGCCGTCCGTGACGCAGGAAGTACAGGAAATCCAGATTCTCCACGATGGCGAAATTACTGACGAGGTGAGAGCTGGAGAAATGAGGAGGCTCACTGGACGCTTCTGGAAGACGAAGATACACACACACACATACATACACACATACACACGAGTAAAAGAAAGTCGTTCTGAACAGAAGCACATCTCGATTGTGTGTGTGTTAATAAACGCACCGCTGCTGGCAGACACACTGTTGGCGGACTGCCATCCGAAGAGTCTGGAGGAGTCCAGGGGATGTAGAGACTGCAGAAGCATGCACACACACACACACACACACACACACACACACACACACACACACACACACACACACACACACACACACACACACACACACACACACAAAAGTAGCTATATTAATTAAATGCAGGGCCGGCGCGTCCATAGAGGCAACCTAGGCAGCTGCCAAGGGTGGCAGAATAGAGAGGGCGGTGTCCACCACACTACCCTCACCTCTCGCGCCCTCAGTTATATCCGCGTCTAGGGCGGCGTCCACGACACTACCCTCATGACCCGTGCCCTTACCACGTCTAGGGCGGCAGAATAGAGAGGGTGGCGTCCCCGACACTACCCTCACCTCTCGCGCCCTCAGTTATATCCCGGTCTAGGGGGGCAGAATAGAGAGGGCGGCAACCCCGACACTACCCTCACCTCTCGCGCCCTCAGTTATATCTCTGTCTATTGCGGCAGAAAAGAGAGGGCGGCATCCCCGACACTACCCTCACCACTCGCGCCCTCAGTTTTATCCCTGTCCAGGGCGGCAGAAAAGAGAGGGCGGCATCCCCGACACTACCCTCACCTCTCGCACCCTCAGTTATATCCCTGTCCAGGGCGGCAGAAAAGAGAGGGCGGCATCCTCGACACTACCCTCACCTCTCTTGCCCTCAGTTATATCCCGGTCTAGGGCGGCAGAATAGAGAGGGCGGCATCCCCGACACTACCCTCACCTGTCTTGCCCTCAGTTACATCCCGGTCTAGGGCGGCAGAATAGAGAGGGCGGCATCCCCGACACTACCCTCACCTCTCGCGCCCTCAGTTAAATCCCTGTCTAGGGCGGCAGAATAGAGAGGGCGGCATCCCCGACACTACCCTCACCACCCGTGCCCTCAGTTATATCTCTGTCTATTGCGGCAGAAAAGAGAGGGCGGCATCCCCGACACTACACTCACCTCTCGCGCCCTCAGTTATATCCCTGTCCAGGGCGGCAGAAAAGAGAGGGCGGCATCCCCGACACTACACTCACCTCTCGCGCCCTCAGTTATATCCCTGTCTAGGGCGGCAGAAAAGAGAGGGCGGCATCCCCGACACTACCCTCACCTCTCGCGCCCTCAGTTATATCCCTGTCTAGGGCAGCAGAATAGAGAGGGCGGGATCCCCGACACTACCCTCACCACCCGTGCCCTCAGTTATATCCCTGTCTAAGGCGGCAGAATAGAGAGGGTGGCATCCCCGACACTACCCTCACCTCTCTTGCCCTCAGTTATATCCAGGTCTAGGGCGGGAGAATATATCTCCCCAAACCCCCCGGTGTGGAGAAGCCCCAAAGAAGCGTCCCACCCAGACTGCTGATGCTTCGATTGAAGCGTGGGGGGGAATCACTGATAGTTTGGGCTCAATATCATGGCGTTCCCTAGGCCCAATACTTGAGCTAGATGGATGCTGGGTCACTGCCAAGGACTACTCAACCATTTGGGAGAGTTACGGGGTGGAGAAGCCCCAAAGAAGCGTCCCACCCAGACTGCTGATGCCCACAGTGAAACATGGGGGCAATAAGTGATGGCTTGGACTTCAACATCATAGCTCCCTAGGTCCAATGCTTGTGCTAGATGGGTCACTGCCAAGGACTACCCAACCATTCTGGAGGACCATGTGACCCAGTGGGTTGACCACTGCATCCTAAAGACGGTGCTGTGTATTAGGTTGATAAAGCACCAATACACAAAGCAAAACAGGTGACAGCGTGGTTTAATGAACATGAAAGTGAAGCTGAACATCTCCCATGGCCTGCACAATGCCCAGATCTAAACATTTTTGAGCACTTTAGGGTGTGTTGGAGGAGAGAGTCAGGAAAGCTTTTCCTCCAGCAGGATCATGTAGGGACCTGAACACCATTCTGACAGACTAATTCTGTGCAGGACCTGTGTCTGTCATTCCAAAGACCAACTGATGCTGTATTGGCTGTTAAAGGAGGCCAAAATTGTTCTTCAGTTTCATTGTCCAACACCGGTACATATTTATACATATATTATGCATATATCTACATCGTGTATATTTGTG